CATTGCAATCTGCATGTACAGCTTTTGGCAAGTAGCGACAAGTAGGCAGAACGATGGCAATACCCCCTTTTTAGTGTCAAATCGGCTGGAAAAGGATCTTGACGCGGTAATTCATATTCGTAAGAGGATTCTTTGTCTAGGTGGGGGCCCCGAAATTTAGATGAGTAGCAAGGGACTCCTAATCGTGGACATGTCTGATATTTTACAGCAAGCAACCGCAGATGCGTTGACAGCAGCAGCAGCAGCACCAGCACCAGCAGCGCAGCCCAGAAGACAAAGACAACAAGCAGAACAAGCAATCACCGTGCACCAGCGCCAGATCAGACGCAACAGAGTTTTTGTCAGCAGCCTTATGTTGATCCAGTGGATAGACAGCAACCACCTTTGCCCCCAGCCGTGCCTTCTTGCGTCACTTCCGGACACGCCGAACCTGAGCAAGCAGGCCGGCAACCTGAAGGCGCAGATGGACGAGGTCAACTTGGACCAGGACCTTTCAGGGGGCGAAGATCCAAAGTTGTCGGAGGACATGTTGCTCCTGTCCAATTTCTTGAACGTGGACTTTGTCAGACCTCCACAGGTCACAACGTTGCGGGCTTGGGGGGATGTGATCATTCCATCCGGGAAACACAGCCACAAAACACACTCCCAAGCGTTCGAAGAAGATTTGGGGTACTGCCTGCTCATGTCACACAAGACGTCGCTTACATCCCCTGGGGCACTGAGCCTGAAGAATTACATTCTTGCTCGATTGATTGCAGCGACACAAGCAGCGGCACAGACGGCAAGTCAGCCGCCGCCAAGCCGCTCTCGAGAGAAGACTTTGGGACCTGAAGAAGGCACCCGAGGTGCCCGAGGACAGCGACAACTTCTCGGAGGAGGAGAACAAGTGGCTGGTGATGAATTCGGAGGCGAAGCCGAAAAAGGTGGACAAGAGGACCGAGCCGAAGGACACCAAGCGAGGAATGGAGACGACAAGCTCCAACATGAAGGTGGATGTGAAAAAGGAAGAGCTGCGGACAAGGCGCGCCCTTCTGGATGACGTAGAGATAACCGGACCCTCCTTGGACACAGCAGACATTCCTGTTCCTGAGAATGATGAAGATGTGTTGTCTGCGGACACAGAGGAGTTCCTTGTACACCCAGAGAGACAGGCTTGGGAAATCGGCATCCATGAGTGACAGTCCTGCCGAAGTTTTGCCATCTCCTGATGTTGCGCTCCAGTATGTCATGATTGCTAAAGAGGAGCGGAAGAAGAGAGTAGAGGTAAATCTTTGCGATGTGAATCCGGCGGAGCGAGAGATGTTTGCGCAAGCCAAAGCTAAAGAAGTTAAAGCATGGGTAGATCATCGCACAGTGCGCAAGGTGGCTCAAGGGACCCTCGATGATAGTCAGCTTCTACGGTGTAGGCGGATACTTACGTGGAAGAGCCCCGAAAAGGATGAGGGTTTCAAGCGTGCCAGAGCGAGGCTGGTAGTGTTAGGATTTCCCCCGACATAGCCAGCATACCGAGTGATGCAGCCACTTTAGGGAAGGATGCCCGACAACTAATCCTCCAAGAGGTAGTCAATCTTGACATGCCACACGGCATTTCTCCGGGGTCAAGGTGATGGAAGATAGGCGGGCATCAAACCGCCAGAAGAACTCTGGCTAGCGTTGCAGATGGGCTCCAATGACCAATGTCTTTTAGAAGGTGGGGGGTATGGGAGGATAGATGCACCTTTTCTTTGGTTCCAGAGCCTCAAGAAGACGTTGCGCGAACTAGGTGTTGTTCAGTGTCCATTTGATGCTTGCTGTTTTTCACTTATATCTCCTCGACAAGATGGGACAACGCAAGTGCGTGGGGTCCTTGGGATTCATGTCGACGATGGCTTAGGTGTGTTTACCAAAGCCATTGAGCGGCTGCGAGCCATTTACAGCTTGGGTCTTGTGAGGAAGCGGAGTTCACCCTTACGGGTATTCGGTTTAGGCAATGGGATGACTGCAGTATTGAGTACGATCAGGTAGCCTATATTGAGAAGATAAGTCCCATTCATGTTTCCCGAGCTAGACGTCAAGATCCAACAGCGGCTCTGACTCCTGAAGAGGTCAAGCAACTGCGCCAGCTAAATGGTAGTCTTCAGTACGCTGCTGTCCATACTCGCCCGACATTTCAGCCAAGGTGGGGTGTCTGCGGAGTAGAATCAACAAAGGGCAAGTGCAACACCTCCTTGAAGCCAACAGAATGTTGCATGAAGCAAAGTGTCATTCCGTGTCCATCATGGTAGTTCCGATCAAAGAGTCCCAGGTTACGTACTGCACTTTCTCGGACGCATCGTTCGCAACTAGCAAGGATAATCATTCGAATCAAGGAACACTTATGGTAGCCACGGATTGGCAAGTGCTGGCTAATCAAGAAGCGGCGATCACCGCTGTAGCTTAGATGAGCAAGAAGATTTCCAGAGTGGAAAGGAGTACCCTTAGTGCCGAGGTAGTTGCTTTGTGCAATTCTATCGATCGAATGAGTTGGATACGACTGCTCTGGGAATGGCTCAAAGATCCTTGTATAGATTTGGCACATCCAGATGACATTGCCACTAAAACGGCAGTCCCAGCCTGCAGTGAACTCAGAACTCAATTGGAGTGCCTGCTCTCCAGGGAGAGGTTACAAGAGAATTGTCGAATGCGTTGGATGCACAGGAAAGCCATGCTGAGAAGGGTATCTTAGAGGGCAGAAAAGGGAAACGGCAATCGATGAAATGGCTGCGTGAAGGTATTCCCAGTTTCCAAGCAATTCTCAAGTGAACCCCTCAGGGTCTTGAACGATTTCTTAATCCCTTCCCCCTAATATTAGATCCTCCCTCATGCTAAACAATAACTTCAGACCTAAACATCTAGAAGACTACTTTTAAAAGGGGACGACTACTGTTAAAAGGGGCCACCTAATAGTGAATTAGGGGGGGTTCTGAGGTCATTACGGGGCATAAGAAGAAATACAAAGGAATAAGGGGATCCCCTTCATTTCCTAGGTTTTGATTGTTTTTCATATGGTTTTAATAAAGGATTTTACATACAAGAAGTGAAGGCGATTTTAATTGATTGTATTGCAACTTTAGCCGTACTTAATGAAATCTCAATTGAATTTCATTCGATTTCAATTGATCTTAAAAGGAATTGTAAATAGATTTCAATTGGTTTTAAAAGGAATTTTAATCAAATCTCAATTGATTTCAAAAGTAATTCTAATTCAATTTCAATTCGTTTAACAGTATTTAAGGTTAATCAAATTTCACTTGATTTTGATGGTAGTTAAATTCGATTTCAATTGATTTTAAACAGGAAGTTTAATCAAATTCCAATTGATTTTGACGGTATTTTACTTCGATTTAAAATGATTTTGAAAGGAAGTTTAATCAAATTTCACTTGGTGTTAAAAGGAACTTTAAGTCGATTTCAATTGCATTAAGCTTAAATTTCAATTGACTTTAACGGTATTTTAAATCGATTTCAATTGATTTTAAGAGGAGTTTTACTTAAATTTCAATTGACTGTAAAAGGGTTTTTCATTGAATCTCAATTGATATTAAAAGGATGTATATTCGATTCCAAGGATTTTTAGGTAAATATCATTTGATTTGAACGGTATTTAAATTCGATTTCAATTGATTATTTAAAAAAAGAAAAAATGCAATTTAGTGAGATTTCAATTGATTTTAAAAGGAATTTTAGTCAAATTTCACTTGATTTTATAGGTAATTCTAGTGAAATTTCCATTGATTTTAACGGTATTTAAATTCGATTTCAATTGATTTGAAAAGGAAGTTTAATCATATTTCACTTGATTTTAGCGGTAATTTAATTCGATTTCAATTGATTTTAAAAAGAATTTTAATCAAATCTCAATTGGTTTTAATGGTAGTTTAAATCGATTCCAGTTGATTGTAAAAGGAAATTTACATAAATTTCAATTGACTGTAAAGGGACTGTTCATTAAATCTCAATTGACTTTAAAAGGACTTTTAATCAGTTTTCAATTGGTTTTAAAACGGAATTTTAATTCGATTTCAATTGTATAACGGGATTTTAATTCGATTTCATTTGGTTTTAAAAGGAATTCTAATCAAATTTCCAATGATTTTAAAGGTATTCAAATTCGATTTCAGGAGAGATGTAATTAATTAACTCAATGTCAGTAAATTAAGTATTCATTTTCCATGGAATTTAAACGGATTTTAAAGGTAGCCCTATCTAATTCTTTCCATAAATATGACCCCCTAATATTAAATATTTTCTCGGGGCCCGGATTACTTGATATTAGGGGGGGGACGTCGTTTAATATTAGGGGGAAGCGATTAACAGCTTCATGTTTTTAGGCCAGTGTTAATCAGCATGCCAGGATTCACTTGAAGTAACACGTCAGTCCTGTTCCCTCGCAATATCCCAGCTTCGAGGTGAGAGGGAAGTGGGTTTGCTTGAGCGGAAAAGGAGACTGGGCTTCTCAGGGTAGGCGGAGGTCGGGCCTAGGGGTTTCTCAGGCGATGGTGATGAGTATGATGATGATGGTGATGAGTATGAAGATGATGAGTATGAAGACAGCGATAATGGTGTTGAATTTTGTCGTGATGGCACAGCTGTGCTTTTGTTAAAAGGCTTGTCGATGCGCAAGTGGAAGCAATGCGCGGGCTGTAGCGGAGGTAGCAGCAACGCAGCAGAAGCAGAAGCGGTGTTGGAGACTAGCGAGGGTAGCATGGAACAGAAGCTTACGGCTACACTACACATCCCCCCCCCACTTCCTTCTCGGAGGTTCCAATACTTCGAGTCAACAGAGCCCTTACTCATTTACACTGCGAGTCGAACTTCGAAAACTTGCCACCTGCTTTCTTTCTCACACGTCAAATCCAAGGTAGCTTCTTCAGAGATTCTATTCAACAAGGCTTGCCAAGAAAACTAGCACGAATTATGCCGTCGACCCAATTTCCTACTAGTACCACGTCCTGCCACAAACTTCTGACTGGCCGAGCTGCCATTCGCGTTGGCGATGGCCACACGGTCGCCCTCTTCCACAGAGAAACCTTCTTCAAACTCATGTAGCCGTACCCGTCAACATACCGTAATCACCGCAAAACCTACAAACGTGAGACCTGAAAGCAACATGCCTCAGATGATGAAGCCCTCAGCCCAGCGGCGATCCTGAGCAAATGAAAACTGCTTATACCCTCACATGGATTGCCTCTTGTGCTTGGCCCTACAATCACAATGTCAAAAGCTCCGGCTGATGGAAGGCCGAAGTTGCGGTCTAGCTCCCACCTGCAGATGCTAGCAGAATTCCCTTGTGACTCTCCCCTCCAGAATATAATGAGACGCCATCGCCTTAAACCAGTGAGGCCCTACATCTTCATTTTCAGCAGCTATGGGCTGATCAGTGTGGCTTTGGTGACTTGTGAAGCATTCAGATGTTGGGCCAGGCAGCCGTAGCGCAAGTACTTGGGGTGGAAGGCAATGATTTTCCTTCGCAACATGGTCATGCCAAGCCACAATCCAGAGACAGAAGCATTTCCCCAACTTAAAGCGCTCACTTATGAAGCCTTTTGGATCCTTTGGGATCGTGATTAGGTCGGCTGAAACCACTAGCGTTGCCAACATGCCACAACGCGGATCGCTTCAGCCATTGCTTGCAGCGTCCAAAATCTCTAGCACTCTCCACGCAAGGAAACACTCCTGAAGAATTGCCTTCGAAAAAGCTCTTACAAGGCCGTGCACCATGAACATGTCTGGGCGTACAACCCTCGCTCCAGAAAATAGGCTGACAAAGTCTTTTCCAGGATACCTATGCTTGACCTCTGCAGCAAGCATCAAGACAGAAACATGCAGAAACCCATTCCTTCGAGATGGAAGGAGTCATTTCGACTCGACCCCAGCTGCTTGGTCAAGAAGAGTACATAGTTAAGTTAAGAGGAGACAATTGCGGATGTGCCCTCCTGACATTGCAAGATTGAAGCAAGCTAACTCAGCAGTCTGCTTCTTGACCCTGGAACCTGCAATCCTGAACAATCAGCTCTCGCGTCGAGCCTTCCCGCACAGCAACATGTTTCACCCTCAGCAATGCCAGGCCACATGTCAAACTCTTCAAGGAAGCCGCTGCCTGTGGAGCATTCGGCGCTGTTGGGGGAGGAAGTACGATGGTGCGACACAGTGTTTCATGCAGTTCTAACTTGGCCAGCCGTGCTTTTGCTTGGCAATCTTTTCGCCTTTGTAATGATGATGCAAATGGGCACACGCCATTTTTCAAATCCTGCTGCTTGCAATGACCACGACGGTCGAGTGACAGGATGCGGGCAGCCACAACAACAACCAGAGCGGGAAGCCTGGGAGCAGGATAATCCGTCATCTAGACCCGATCGCAGCGCATCGCAGTGGCATTCTCATGGGTCGGTTGAATGTCACCAGGAGCACAGGGTCAGCATCCACCCGAGTAGTGGGACTGAAGCTGTGGCTGGCATCGGCTATTTTGGCTCCGCAAATGTTCCACTTTGTGAAAGCTTAGATCCAGCAATTGCTCGGCTTGGCATTGCATCGCTCATCGCCGCGGCAAACTTTACCGACTGATTCCTGCTATCATGCTGAAAAAATCAATGGCGCCTCCTTCCAGCTCCTCCTCGTAGAAGTCGCGAAAAGCCGGGTACTCCTTCCACTCCTCTGCAAGTCAGGGGTCTACCATTGCATGTCCTGAACCTGATGTATTCAAAAGCCAATAGAGGCTCTCCGGCCAACCCTCCTTACCGTCGCAGCTTCTCCAAGAGTTTCTTAGGCTAGGCATAGCTAGGCTATCTCGACCCGACAGACAGTTGGTGAGTCCTCCACGGCTGCGCATAGGATAATGTACATGAATTGGATACGCGATTGTGATTTCTAGGCTTTCTGGCAGAGAGATCTTTCGGCCCATTGCCAGTCCTCCACATACGGACAGACGACCAAGGTCGTCCTGAGAGCAGCGCATGTCAGAACAAGCACCCACACATCAAAGGAATTTGCCGAACCATTAGAAGAAATCTAGAATCTAGAACTCGTACTTAAGAACCTATCTGTGCAGGTAAGGTTTACCTCTGATACCCTCACATTGCAAGCACGCGGCGTTGCTTGGCCATCAGCGCCAGGACCATCTGGCAATGCCTCAGCCTCGCAGAAATCAGAAGTCCGGTTCAGTCAAGCTGGTGCTGAATGACTGAGATGGTCCGTAAGGAAGTGTGAAACCAGCTGAAAACTGGACGGTGAGTGTCAAGGACAATTTGTCCAACCGCTGGACTTTCCAACTCATGTAATATCACCAACATTCATAGTTTTCTGAGTGGTCGGCGTGGCTGCTACATGGTAGTTACTGTGCACTTGCTTGGGCTGTAGCACTGACGTATGTGAAATTCCCGCTGCTTTTTGCACACACATACATTGACATACATCAAACAGCCACGGGGCTCGCACGGCTCAACTTTCCCAGCTCTCTAGGACTATTGGCTGGAATTGGCACCTCATGCATTGCACACCCGCCCCGTTTCTTGCATGAACGGCAGCTACGCTCCCCTGCCAGCTTTCCCGGCATGCCGTCATCTGTATCCATCTCACATCGAGACTTAACTCCAAGGCTTGGCGACATGCTCATGAACAGCAATCGCACTGCAAGCCTCTGACAACAGATCGAAGATTACCTTAGCTGGATTGAGTCTTGAGGGTTGGGCAGTCAGCTCTATTAGCAAGGTCCTGGTGGTCTACTGAACCAAGATTTTACACTGGCTCATGCTAGACTGCTAGCACTGTATTCCCGCATCCCGGGAGTCTAGCTCAGCTACAATATGCGTCTGATCAGGCCATCACTGAGGTTACGGTGGATCCTGAGACCCGACAGTCTATGAACCTGCAGACATCAAAGGAGCATCCACGAGCAAACTAGACCAGAGTAAACTCACCGCATCCAACATCTTTTCAGCCATTGCGAAATGAGCCGTGGCCTCGAGCGCTTGAACCTTTGGTTCTTACTCGTGCTTCTATCGCCAAACCTGTCGCGATGCCGACGCGACCCCAGGAACAGCTGACGCGGACGCATCTCTGTAACTCTGTACTCGACGCAAGCTATCGCGGTTTGATTCCAGGCTTCAACGCCTCATTCGCTGATGCGAACACAGCGGCAACTACTTTTTTCCCGCACACTGGCTGGTCCATGAGCCCATGTCTTGGCTCTCGCAAACAAAATCGCAGTGAGAATTTCATGCTTCTCTGTCGCGAGCTATCGCACACACACACACACACCAGAAAAGCAGACGCAGCCAGTCTTTACTTTACTGAATACAGCACATTCTGCACTACCGCGCAGTACTGAGCTAGTTGCGTGCACCTTCGTCCCTAGAGTTGCTGCCTCGTCCGCATCTTTGCCGGAGCTTTCCACAATGCGAATATTGCGGCGCTTGTCAGCCTTGGCATGCGTCGGATAGATTTGAAGGTCTCCAAAGCACAGCACTGCTGGTATAGCTCTTGGTATTTCTAATAGTTAGCAGCTACGGATCATGACGTGGAATAAATATTGCAAAGCTAGCATTCTGCTCGCCTTTTCTTAGGAGTCTGTTTCTTCGATGCAAATCTCTGGAGCTTGCTGTCCTGAAGCCGTCCAAGCTCAATCACTTGAGAGCAGCGCGCACGAAAGCTAGACTACAACGCTTTGCTTGCCAAAGTTTGCAACACTGTCATGCCGTCCTCTCTGATTGCCCGAAA